AGTGGTATTAAAAGGGGTATTTTTTTTTTCTTAAATCTGTTATGACTGCAGGGAGAAGATTCGGTTCCGCTTACTGAGAATGACGAATACACGTAAGATATACTTGGGGAAAGTATATAAGTGGGTGATTCATTGAACAGGAAGTTAAGAAGCAGCAGGTATATAATGATTGTGCGTGACCTTAACACGTATGCTTACCTACGCACATGATGGTTATGATGAAACGTTTGAAAAATTTGTTACAATCGAAAGTTATGAATGTAGATCTTCTTTCCACATGACGATATAGAATACATTTAACATTCTTTTTTTATTTTTTAAATGTGAAAGTGCTTTCCTCTTTGATGACATTTAAATCTTTTTTGTATTTAACTTTATTTAAAAAACAATTTTTCAATATGAAAATGAAATTTTAATGTAGAGAAAAATATGTTTATTCAGCTACAAATATGCGATTTGTAATTCTCAGGTAGATAAAAAATTAAAAGGAAAATTTTTTTTTTTATAAAAACAATGCGAAATTTCTTTTGTATTATCTTGATTTATTACAAAAATTGTCATCAATTTTTGATAGTGATGATTCATTTACAGATTAATGAACTCTGAATCATCAGACCTTATATTTTATATAAAAAAAAATTTTATTATACATATAGAGAAAGTAAAATGACTTTCACTATTGAAAAATAATAAATTATTAAATATTAATTAATGGGTTTTATAAAAAAAAAGAAAAAAAAATTGATTAGAAAGCAATTTTCAAGGTGCATGCAAATAATATGTAAGAAATGGAAGTTGATATTTTATATATATATATATATAATTGCAAGTGAAGAAGTTTCGCAAGACTTAAGACTATTCGGTTGCATCGCGGTACAAACTGCTCTGGAATGCTCGCAAATCAATGCATTACTCGTGGCACTAATTAATTGCGCAAGCGTGATAATAAAACCGTTCATGGAAATTGACCTTAAGACGAACCTTGAATTCTCTCCGCGGTTGTTGATTGCAAAGTGTCTCGTTACAATTCCCCCATATCCCGGGGAAAATTAATTTTCTAATTTATTTTTCGTTTCTTTTCATATCAACATTTAAAAATGTTTGTTTTTCCCATGAATTTTCCGGATGAGAACCACTCTTAGGGCTTTTATGAGATGACCGATCGATTCCGGCTGTCTCGACTTCTCCCGCATTTACTGCCACCGACCTACGTAAATTCATTTTTTCTTTTTTTTTTTTATTGTCATACTAAAAAAGGAAAAAAAAATATCTTCATTGAAAAACTAAATCTTCATAATCAATCAATTTTTTATTAATTAAATTTCCATTTCGCCAAAAAGTAGAATTTTTATTACAAATATTTGTTAAATAACAATATTGCAAAATTTTAATGAAAAAAAAAAAAAAAATAGAAATAGAAAAAAAGGTAAAAAATATTTTATAAATAAAAAATTATTTCAGTTCTCTTGAGATTTTTTTTTCGGGCAAGGTAAATATTTTCTCCTTCGATTCCTGAAAGTTAGACGCCACGCCCAATATATCTCGCATGCTTCGCGAATTGTGAGTTTACAACGTTCGAAATTCATTCATGGTTCGAATTCAAATGAGAATTATTTTGAAGTGGCCGGCGACCCCTGTCAAGGTCTGGGTGCAAATAAACTATACACAATGGTACTATATGCAGATCACAATGCCCGAAATTGAGAGTGGGAGGTTTGACGAAACTGACAAGACCATGAAAAAGAGAGAGAGAAGGAGAGAAAAATATTATTTCTTCAGAGGTCGAAAGGAACGAGACTAGAGGCGCGAAATGTATACCTCTTTCTCTCCTCTCCTTTTTTTTTCTCTCTTGTTACGTACGCATACCCTCGTGACGTCATCGATCTGACATTCCACCAAGCTTTATACAAGTTCGTGTCTCCGTCTACATTATGCACCCATAAGATTCTTTGAATAACTTTCCCGGTTGCAATGCCGACACTAGTCACTTTACTCGCCTTTAAAGACCTCCACAAAACTTTATTTTATTCCATTTTTGAGAAAAAAAAAAAAATCAAAAATTACTTTCGCTCTTATAGACAGTAATTGATTCTAATTAGATTGTGCGATTATCAGATTAAGAATATTTCAGATCTTCTGCGATACTACACGCATTTATTCCTCTTAAATGTTTTCAGGAGCAACACTTTTTTTTCTCTCGTTTTAAATTTGATTTTTAAGTATTGCTCCTAACTTCCAATTAAAAATAACGAGACACACATTTTTATTTAATTAGTTTCATGTTGGTTTATATATGCCTTTGAAAGGAATAATAATTTCGTCATTGAAAATATATTGGCGAATTTTCAAGATTACTTTTTTTAATTTTTCTTTAATTGAATTTTTGAATGAATCAAATTTTTTATATGAAACTGAAGTGCGCAACGTTTTTATAAACGAAAACGAAAAAATAATAAGATAATATATGTATTACTTTGGCATAAAATTAAAGTTATTCGGAGGTAACTGACTTCTATAAAAAGATTAATTTCTTAAAAAGTTTGTACAACTCAAAATTCTATTTTAATTTTTCGTTTTTAAAAACGTTGCGAACTTCAGGTTAATTTTTTTCATTTAGAAGAAAAAAAATTCTCGAAATTTTGATAAATGAAAATTCGATTTAATAGCTGTATAATTAATAGATTTCGGTTAAACATAAATTTTTAATTGGAATTTTGAAGCTATATATAATTTTTAGGGAATGCGTCTAAAAAGTTATTCCATATATCAAAAATTGATTATTTTTATTATAGGACCGACTTTATATGAATTAATGAGCAGTGAAAGGATTGGGACACGCGACCTGATTATTGACCTAAGGTTCTCCCCGTTGGTTTCTTCTCTATAGTTTCGCCTGCATTCGAATCAGTCAGCCCGTACTCGGGCGATTTCTATTTCAGGAGAGATGCGAATTCTAGCGAGTACAACTTTGAATCTACAGCCACCGAAAATATATATATATGTGTGTTGACTTGTGTCTTCCTGAGAAACTGGAATGCAAGTTTAGATTTTCAAAATCTGTGAGGGGAAAAAAAAATAATGACAGAAATGTCTACTTTAATGCGCGACAACGCGACAATAAAAGCACTTGAGTTTGTAAAACAAGAGTGAATGATAGCCGACGGTTTTCAGCGCAAACAAAACGTTATTTTGTATACATGTCTCTGTATACATGCCCACGTATATACTTTAAAAATATGACCTAAACTTCCTGATAAAATATTTTGCAATATATCGCACCTGTTTTACTCATATTTCATTTCTTGGAAATTAATTACCTATCGATTGAATTTGATTTATGTTGTTGAAGCCATGTAATTTTGCAATATAGTCGTTGCTTTTTATTTATTACCTTTTTTTTAATTTTTCATTTGATGCAGAAGTCTTAACCGGTAGTTGTAAAATTTTCAATTTTACAATTAAAAATTTGATGAATTGTATAAAAAAAAAAATTCCATTTATTTTTATTTAAGAAAAAAAAAATTATTGTCCTCGATTTTATTACACTGTCAACATTTGGTTGTTTCACAATAGTTCTCCAGCAAGGTCTCTCTTTTTTTTGTTTTTTACGTAATTTCTGTTGACTAATGTAAACGTACGATTTCGGAGCTTAAATGTTTGTTCTGTTATTTGATGGTACTTGGTGGATGTAAAGTACACTCCAACATTCATAGAATACTGGTTTTGTCGACTATACAAAAAAGAAAATCCCCAGCAAAACATTTTACTTTTGCTTGTAATTTAAACCTATGGGAATATCTTTTATTTCACTTTCCATGAAATATATGACTAAGAAAAAGAGCTCAGCACGCTTAAGAAAGGATTTATCAAAGTCTCCTGCAAATTATATTGTAGAGAACCAGTTTTTAAAGGGAAAATCCTGATTTAAAATTGATTAATTTCAAATTGAAGAGATCTCGCGATCAACGCTAATTTTATGACAAGTTCTTTTTTTATGGTCTTTGCGAGAAAATTATTTAACACATTACGTAAAATGTACTCATTTGTGTTTAAAACGATTTTTTTCACGATTTTATGATCTTGCGGTTAAGGATTGATTAGGGGAAATTTTGTGTTTAATGCCAAGAAAGGAAAGTTGAAGAATAAATTATAAATAATACTAATATTTAGAAAAAAAAAAATTCTCGAATTAAATTTATCCATAAAAAATTGGGAGGGAATTTTGTTCAGATTTAGAGAATGAGAAAATAAGTAAAAAAAATAAAGAATCTTGAGTCGTTGAAGTGTAAGCAAGATGATTAGAAGGAGAAGGGTGTTTTGTTGTGGCAGTTGAAAGCTGAATGAGAAGACCAATTACTGTATTACGCTATTTCTTCATGATGTTCCTCTCAACGATTTGCTTTAGGTACATGAACACTAATTTCAAATTCATCCCTAAGACCGTTATTTCAGGCGCCAATGCTGTGGCAAATAAGTCTGATAATGTGCAGTCGAGGGATTTAGGCGTCTACATTCCACATTATAAATATTCATCGTATGGCGCCCATACATATGTGATAAATCTTTGTGTATGTGTGTGTGTGTATGTAGAAAAGAAACAAAATAATTTTAATAACAATATAAAAATTATATTTTTAACATAAAAAAATTTTTTGTTACGATAAAATAAATTGATTATGATCACCCTCGAATCAATTCAAATGGTTCCGAGTTTCAAGTTGTCAACATTTTTGGCAACGTTTGCCCCTTAAGTGATAATATTAATTCAATCGAAATTCTTGGCATCAAGTCACGTTCTACCGTATTTTGCTTTTATTAATTAATTTTCATATTTCTGCTTGCATTAATTGTGACTAATGTTGACAAATTGAGATATTTCCCGTGTGTCAGAAAATTCATGTAGATTTTTTATTTTAGATGTTCAATTTTCATATATTTATAACGTTGAAATAAATTTTTTTTAGAAAAAATGGAAATTTACATTATTTTTCTTTTTACAGACGTATTCCGGCCTTTTCTGCGTCGTAGTCAATCCTTACAAGAGGCTGCCAATTTACACAGAAAAAATTATGGAGAGGTATAAGGGAATCAAAAGGCACGAAGTACCACCACATGTTTTTGCCATCACAGACACAGCATATCGTTCGATGCTTCAAGGTAATAATAATAATAATAAGATAACAAGAAAAATTGATTAAATTTTCATAGTAAATAATTTTTAATTCATAGTCATTTATTAATCGAATTTCACGATTTTAGACCGTGAAGATCAATCAATTCTCTGTACTGGTGAATCCGGTGCTGGCAAAACAGAAAACACGAAGAAAGTTATTCAATATCTAGCGTATGTTGCTGCTTCGAAACCAAAATCAAACGCGGTAAGTTATTTTAATTAAAAAAATAAGAGATAATTAATATTTTCCTAAACACTTGGATAGTCATCAATTGTCTTGTGATTTAATGAGTTTGTACTCAAGAAGAAACCCGTGATTGAAGTCTTGCCTTTATTTTTCACTGAGTTCTGTGAAATGAACATCATGAATAATAAATTCTTATGTCGAGAGAGATAACCATAGAAACTGCGTTTACTAGAAGTTTATATGAGATAACTGCAGGAGGCGGATGAATTATAATACGCGCGCGAGATTTTAGAATTTTATGTAAGCAGAAGGCCAATCGATTCTTGAATTTTAGAAAATGTCAATATCATGAGTCTTGAGAAATTAAAAATTTTTTTTTCTTTTGTTTTCTTTTATAAATGAAATTCGCAATTTTTAAAAGAAGAAAAATAAAGAGAATTTTTATTTAAATTCTCATTTGAAAAATTATTAATTTTTCGATTTATTGAATTGAAAATTTGAAATTTTTTTTTATAATAATTTTATTAATTTTTTTAGAGTAAAGAAAATGATGGTTCAAGAAAGAATTTTTTTTCATGAGAGTTTAATTATTATCAAATTAATTTATTCTATCGTGATTAATTAATCGACATTATAATTATTCTACGGGGCGTTAAACGGTGAGAATTTTACCGCGTACGTTAATTATATTGTCGGTTGCTTGATAATTCTAATTGTTTTCTTACTCGGGGATTTTTTGCCTTGATCGTAGAATACAGTCACCTCCGTTGCTCTTTTTCTTGAATTGACGAGATTCTCTTTATCATGTAAGCATTGAATTACCTCTTACCTATATAATGAAATTTGATAGTCTGTTTAACTACAATTCAAGACTAGAAATACCAGGCGTCATATTGTTATAAACAATCCACTCGATTAACGAATATATCGCCAATAGAAAATGATTGACTATAAAAAAAAAAAAAAACATTTTATAAAGTCGAGATTGTCTCATTGATTCGACAATAAATAAAACGCTAAATGAGAATAGAAACTCGAGTCTTTGAAACCAATCTGATATCTTTGATCCAAAGTTTGCTAATTAACTCTCTTAAAGAAACTATAATCAATTTATATGCGAAATTATTATTATTTCTCAGAAATTCGCGGTAAAGATAATAATTGAATATAAGCAAAACAACATATTAGATTTTTAATAAGCTTTGAATGAGATTTTGTTTTATCAAATTGAACTTTAAAACGTTAAAAAAAAAAAAATAATGCAGGCATTACAATTTTCAGCATTTCTAAATTTGAAATTTCGCTTGAACAATTTGTGAATATTATTAATGAATTTAAAAATAGATACAAAAAAAGAAGATGATTGGTTAGGTTGCAAGTCATTTAATTAAAACTCTCGTGGCAAACAGTAGATTCTTTGTCGTATTTGCGAAACATATATCGCAAGACTTGAAAAGTGAGTTTGTTCTATACCTCATGAAATAGGCCATTACAAAATAAAAAAAATAAGAATTGTCTTGTATATAATATTGGAGATGTTGGTTTGAGAAAATTAATAATGCGGGTCCAAAGATGGTTGATTCGTCATTCTGTCTGTTCGAAGGACACGCGAGATTCACAAACCTTAACATAGTTTCATTTACCATAAAGAAAATACTACGACTTGTGTGTGCGCGTTGCTTTAATACGTCGATTAAACCCAATCGATTTATATATTATTGTGACTAGTTTACGGGATTGCAAAATCGGCCTCGAAGGTCCTGTCCTCCAAATGTACATCCATTTTATTGGTTTTAAACTCAATTTCATACTCTTTATTTTTGGTATATATATACAATATAGGCAATATCTTCAATTAAATAATCCAGTTTATTTGATTTCTAATCAATTATTATATTTTAAACATTCAATAGTCTTGAAATACGAAATAGTCTTCAATTCTAATTTAGATTAATTTTTTTTAAACATTAATTATAGTAAATAAATTAATTTTAAAAATTAGAAAAATAAAACTGCAAATCAGTGTATAATTGAATGCTTCATATAAATATTAATAGGTCAAGACTATAAAATTGGTTATATTGGTCGCTTCTATGATTCTTAATTATTTCTATTATTATTATTATTAACATCATTTTTACGTGATTTATCTTGTTTTTCGAACTACGACGGACTCGTAAAGATAATTCTCAATCTTGAAATTCTCAGAATCATTTAGATGGATAAATGGAGCTTTCAATCAGTGTTCGATTATTTATGTCCATTTTTCTTAAAAATGAACAAAAATTTAATTATAAAAATATTAAATTTATTTATTTTATTTAGTTTTTTTTTTATTTTGTTTATTTTAATATATTTAAATTTAATGTGTAGTTGAGTTAATAATTTCAATTAAATGACTGTTAAAGTGTATCCATTTTGTAGTAAAAAAGAATTTAATGTGTAGCACTAACTAGTTATTACCATATTTGTTGCAATTCATTTACAATAATAGCTATTTTTAAAACGGGAATTTTCTATTCGCGAACAATTTACTTTTAACAAGATTTTCATTGATTGACTTCTTCATTCAAATTTTAATTACCATTTACATAATTTAAATTGATGACAAAAATTTTTAAATTTAACTAATTGAATGAAGCAAAAGTTAATGGAAAAAAGTCGATATACTCGGTCGCGTTTTCATTTCATATTTTATGACTTGAAACATGCACATTCTTGCTTTTATTGCTGAGCTAACTCAGCCGCTCTCTTTTACAAAATTCTAACGTTACTTACAAAGTAACATTGAAAACCTACAGCAAAAGAAAACAAAAAATTGAAGAAGAAAGAGATTAAAAAAATCAAAAAAAAAAATGGGAAAACATTTTGAGGAAGATAGAAAATTCAAAAAAGAGAAATGATTAAAAAAAAAGTTAGAGATAATTGAGAAAAATAAAAAATTTTTAAATTAAAATAAAGTTCCAAAAATTGTAAAGTTTAAAATTTAAAATTGGATTAATCTTTAATTGAACACCTGAGAATGTATTTTAAATTATTTTTAAGTGATAAAGTACTTTCGATTCTTTGTAATTTTCCTCTAAATTTACATTATTTTATCAGGTAGCTCACTATTTTTTTTTTTCTGAAATGTTTTAAGAAAAGCAAACATTCCAAGCTAGCAATTCACCGTTTACATTTATGTGTGCTTTTAAATAAACATTGTTCGACTAATTATTTCGCTCATCGTACAACTCCGGAACGAGATAATAAAAGGTCGCGAAAAGAAATTAAACAAAATGTAGGAGTACAAACTGATAAGATTGAGACTCGTGAAGACAATTATTTATATTATTACTCAGTCTGCGCGGTTTTCGTTGTTTCTTACTAATTAGTATATACGCAACTATCTATAATTTACGATTATAAGAGAAAATTATTGATTATAATGTTCAAAGTTTCTGTTTCATAAATATATATAATATATATTAACAGACCTTTGATTAAAATATGCTTTCAACTGAAATACAATTTTTTTTACTTTTGTGCAGACTAGAGAAAAATTATAATTAGAAATTTTTTCGAAAAAATAGTATTTGTAGAAATTAATAAAAAAAAATTCAATATTGAATTTTAAGAACTTTGAATTTTTATACGAAGAAAATAATAAAACATAAAATAATTAACCAAGAGGAAAAATTGATGATCTAGACAAAAATTATGTCATTCTAATAATATAAAAATTCTTTTATTTTCGGTGCTGATTTTTTGATGGATGCTACTCTAGACACCAAGTCCGGCATTAATCATAGTAAGTCAATATTAAAGCTCAGAACATCATAAAATTGTGGATACTTGTTGATGTTTTTTGTTTGTCTATTTTTTGCCTCTTTAATTATAGTGCCTACTAACAAAATGGTTTTGGATTCATCATGAGGGGTTGTAAATTAAAAAAATAAGAATTTTTCATTTTAATGAAAATATAAAAATATTTTTAATCTTTTCTAATTATCGCTTTTTTACATATATGCGCAATTATTCATCTATTTTTGAATTACTAATTCAAGTTTCTTTGTAATATCAAATTTTTTTTTTGCCTTATTCTGCTGCCTTTGGAACCAGGGCACTGGAACATTAGCTGACAAGTTTGCGGTAATTAGAGGGACGAATTATTACGGATATTGGTGTGGTTCTCTTTACACTTAAACACTCTCATATTAAGGCTTTTTTGTTTAATTATTTTATGCTTGGGTTTAACACAATTTATTAAAATTTAATTGATGCTATTTTTATTTTGAGTGTTTTTTGTAAAAATATTATTTAGATATTAAGTGTTTCGTCACTAACAAGTAATTAATTTTATTATTAATAATTATATTCAAAATTCCTTTTAAAATGTTAGTTACTTTTTAACAGGTGATTGTTCCACAGAAAATTTAAATTTTGATTTATTATTTAAAAAGACTTTGCTATTATTTCAGTAGGACTTTAAATAAATATTTATTAATTGTTTATTAATATTTAAGTCAATTCATTTCGATAAGAGAATTTATAAATTTTTAATAGAAGTAAATTTTTTATGTGCTTTTCAATTAAATGCATCAAGAGAATCATGAAAAATTTATCGGCAAAAGATGTTTATAATTATTATATAGAAGATTTATTTTTTTTTCAATATCTTAAAAAATTAAAATAAAATACTAATAAAATTTATATACAAATATTTTTTGAATTTTTAAATAAATTAATGATATTTGCAATTATAGATAAATGAAACATCTGTTATTACTTGTAGTTGACGTTATGAATAATGTATACAGTTCAGTTATATGTGAAATAGTCACCTGTTTTTTATAAACTCATAGTAAATTTTATCTCCCTTATTCTCCTTGTAAAATATTGTATACTGGGAGATTCAAAAATCTATTTGGTATTTATCTGATTACTTTAGTATTAATGTATGTTTAGAAATGTTATTTTTTTTGCTTAAATCATGTTCATAATCGCAATGTGTAATATTATTTTATTTAAATATGCTTATATAAATTTTTATTGTAATTGTTGCTTTATGATTTTTTCTTTTTCATCACAGGGTGAACTTGAACAGCAACTTCTACAAGCCAATCCTATTCTAGAAGCTTTTGGAAATGCAAAAACCGTCAAGAACGACAACTCCTCACGTTTTGTAAGAAATTTAAAATATTAGAATTAAATTAACTTTTAAATACATTCTTTAATTTTTTTGAGACACATATTTTTTTGCGCAAAAGAAAACAATATTTTTAGAAATTTTTTGATTAAAAGGTATCACAAAAAATTAAAAAAAATTTGTTTGCAATAATTATAATTTTTAATTGATTTCCCTTTTAATTAATGGCAACAATTTTGACTCAAGGACATTAAAATTTAGAATTGGAAATTTATTTTATTAATATACAAACAACATTTTCAAGATCAGTTTTTAAAAACTAAATGTTTTTACGCAAAAACGAAAAAAAAAATGATACCTCAAAAGGTTAACTATAAATTATATTAGAAAAATAATTTATGGATATTTAAATTTCTTCACTTGCGTTAATCTTTTGCAAAAGTTACATATTTTTAAAAACAGTATCAGTAAACATTTTTTCTTAGCTTTACAATTCCTTGATAATTAAACTTAAAAAAATTTAGAATATTTAAAACCAAGAATTTTACTTACTGATTGTTTTTTTAAAGCATTTTTCTTTAAATTACACTTTTTCAAATCCTTGAATAAATTAAAATAAATTTAATATCAAGAATACTGTTTGTTGTATTATTTAATTTTTTTTTTAAATCTTCGTGCAGGCATTTATAAACAAGTAAATAAAATAATTTTCCTTTGTATCAAAGAAAAAGAAAATATTTCAAAATTAACTTTCAGTGAAGATGCCGCAGGTGTATAACTTTTTTATTCTATTTTTTTTTGTTCGTTAAAGAATTTTATCTGATAAAATTATGTTTCTTTGCAGGGAAAGTTCATTAGAATTAATTTTGATGCATCTGGTTACATCGCTGGAGCAAATATCGAAACGTACCTTCTTGAAAAATCTAGGGCAATTCGACAAGCCAAAGATGAACGAGCGTTTCACATATTTTACCAATTGCTGGCAGGTGCATCACCAGAACAAAAGAGTACGTAACTTATTTAATAAATATAATATAATAAGTATAAAAAAAGAAAGTGTCATTTTTAAAAATAAAATAAAATTTTCTTTCTTTTTGCAGAGGAATTTATTTTGGAGGATCCAAAACATTATCCATTCCTTTCGAATGGTGCGCTTCCAGTACCGGGAATGGATGATTCTGCCGAATTTTCCGCCATTGTGAAGGCAATGAATATAATGGGAATGACGAACGAAGATTTTGCCTCAATATTCCGTATTGTTTCTGCAGTTATGCTATTTGGTTCGATGCAATTTAGACAGGAGAGAAATTCCGATCAAGCTACACTTCCTGATAATACAGTTGCCCAAAAAATTTCCCATCTATTGGGCCTAAGTGTGACAGAAATGACAAAAGCCTTTTTAAAACCAAGAATCAAAGTTGGCCGCGATTTTGTAACGAAAGCACAAACGAAGGAACAAGTGGAATTTGCAGTTGAAGCAATATCGAAAGCGTGCTACGAAAGAATGTTCCGTTGGTTGGTGAATAGGATAAATAGATCACTTGATCGAACGAAAAGACAGGGAGCAAGTTTCATTGGTATTTTAGATATGGCTGGTTTTGAAATTTTCGAATTGAATTCCTTTGAACAGTTGTGCATCAATTATACGAATGAGAAACTTCAACAATTATTTAATCACACAATGTTTATTCTCGAACAGGAAGAATATCAACGTGAAGGTATTGAATGGAAATTTATTGATTTTGGATTAGATCTTCAGCCGACAATTGATTTGATAGATAAACCTATGGGTATTATGGCCCTTGTTGATGAGGAATGTTGGTTCCCAAAAGCGACGGACAAAACATTTGTGGAAAAACTTGTGGGTGCTCATAGTGTTCATCCGAAATTTATGAAAACAGATTTCCGTGGAGTTGCCGATTTTGCCATTATTCATTATGCTGGAAAAGTTGATTATTCTGCTGCCAAATGGCTTATGAAAAATATGGATCCCCTTAATGAAAATGTTGTGAGTCTTTTGCAAGCGTCACAAGATCCATTTGTTTGTCATATATGGAAGGATGCTGAAATTGTTGGAATGGCCCAACAAGCATTGACTGACACGCAATTTGGCGCAAGAACAAGAAAAGGAATGTTTAGAACAGTCTCACAACTTTATAAAGAGCAATTGACGAAATTGATGGCAACATTGAGGAATACTAATCCAAATTTTGTCAGGTGCATTATTCCCAATCATGAGAAGAGAGCTGGTAAAATAGACGCTCCATTGGTTCTCGATCAGTTGAGGTGTAACGGTGTTCTCGAAGGAATTCGTATTTGTCGTCAAGGTTTCCCGAATAGAATTCCATTCCAAGAATTTAGACAGCGATATGAACTTTTGACACCGAATGTCATTCCGAAGGGCTTTATGGACGGAAAGAAAGCTTGCGAAAAGATGGTATGTATTTTTTTTATTTTTCGTTTTTCATTAAAATTCTCTTGATTAAAATACTTTTTTTTTTTCTAATTTTTATAGATTCAAGCACTGGAACTTGATCCAAATTTATATCGTGTGGGTCAATCGAAGATATTTTTCCGTGCTGGTGTATTGGCTCATTTGGAAGAAGAAAGAGATTATAAAATTACGGATCTCATTGTTAATTTCCAAGCGTTCTGTCGTGGTTTTCTGGCGAGACGCAATTATCAAAAGCGTCTACAACAATTAAATGCAATACGTATTATTCAACGAAATTGTTCCGCTTATTTGAAATTGCGAAATTGGCAATGGTGGCGTTTGTACACGAAAGTAAAACCTCTATTGGAAGTGACGAAACAAGAAGAGAAACTTACGCTCAAGGAAGATGAATTGAAGCAAGTTCGTGAAAAATTAGAAATGACAGTGCACGATGCCAAGGAATATGAGAGAAAATATCAATTGGTGATTGAAGAGAAAATGATGTTGGCTGAACAATTGCAAGCTGAAGTGGAACTTTGTGCTGAAGCTGAAGAAATGCGTGCAAGATTGGCGGCTAGAAAGCAAGAATTGGAAGAGATTCTTCATGATCTTGAGGCACGAATTGAAGAGGAAGAGGAAAGAAGTTCAGCATTGATACAAGAGAAAAAGAAATTGCAACTTAATATCAGTGATTTGGAGGAACAATTAGAGGAGGAGGAAGCTGCGAGACAAAAATTACAATTGGAAAAAGTTCAATGTGACGCGAAAATTAAGAAAATGGACGAAGATATTGCACTTTCTGATGATACAAATCAAAAACTTTTGAAAGAAAAGAAACTTTTGGAAGAAAGAGCAAATGATTTATCTCAAGCATTGGCAGAGGAGGAGGAAAAAGCGAAACATTTGGCTAAATTGAAAACGAAACATGAAGCTACAATTGCCGATTTGGAGGAACGTCTTTTGAAGGATCATCAACAACGTCAAGAAGTCGATAGATCGAAGAGAAAAATGGAAACTGAAGTTTCTGATTTGAAGGAACAAATCGCTGAGAGAAAATTGCAGGTAGAGGAATTACAACTACAATTGGGTAAACGAGAAGAAGAACTTACGCAAGTTATGACGAAAATTGACGAGGAAAGTGCTGCGAAGGCTCAAGCTCAAAAGGCTCTAAGAGAATTGGAATCACAATTGGCAGAACTTCAGGAGGATTTGGAAGCTGAGAAAATAGCTAGAAGTAAAGCTGAGAAATTGAAACGTGATTTGAATGAGGAATTAGAGGCATTGAAGAATGAATTACTTGATTCGTTGGATGTGACAGCGGCTCAACAGGAACTTAGAACGAAACGAGAACAGGAATTGGCAACATTAAAAAAGAATCTTGAAGAAGAGACATCATCTCATGAGGCAATGATGGCTGATACGCGTCACAAGCACACGCAAGAATTAACCGTTCTTAATGAACAAATGGACGCTTTGAAAAAAGCTAAAGCCACTTTAGAGAAAGCAAAGAGTACATTAGAGGCTGAAAATGCTGATATGGCTACTGAATTAAGATCCGTTAGTGCCAATAGACAAGAATGTGATCGAAGACGTAAACAAGCTGAGCAACAATTAGTTGAGGTTAATGGAAAACTTGCCGAAATTGAAAGAGTGAAACAGGAATTAGCAGAGAAAGTCGTGAAATTACAACAGGAAGCTGAGAGTGTTTCTCAACAATTGGAAGCTGCTGAATTGAAAGCTTCAGCTGCTGTTAAAGCATCAACAACCTGTGAATCTCAATTCACTGAACTTCAACAACAACTTGAAGAAGAGACGAGGCAAAAATTGGCATTGAGTTCAAAATTAAGAGCACTTGAAAGCGAGAAGGAAACACTTCATGATCAACTTGAAGAAGAGGAAGAAGCGAAACGAACTTTTGAAAAACAAGTCGTGAATTTGAATATTCAACTCACTGAGGCGAAGAAACGTGCCGATGAAGAATCTGAAGCAGCAACTGCACTTGAAGAAGCAAGAAAACGATGTTTGAAAGATATTGAAACACTACAGAGACAAGTGGAGGAACTTCAAGCAGCTAATGATAAACTTGACAAATCGAAAAAGAAAATTCAAGCCGAATTGGAAGACAGTACAATTGAATTGGAAGTTCAAAGAGGAAAGGTCATTGAATTGGAAAAGAAACAAAAGAATTTCGATAAAGTTCTTGCAGAAGAGAAAGCCATTGCAGTACAATATCTTGAACAAAAGGATAATGCCGAGCGAGAATCACGAGAGAAAGAAACGAGAGCTTTGTCGCTTACACGTGAATTGGATGAATTACACGAGAAAGTTGAAGAATTGGAAAGATGCAAAAAAGTTCTTCAAGGTGAATTGGATGAATTGGCAAATAATCAAGGAACAGCTGACAAAAATGTTCACGAACTCGAGAAGGCAAAACGGGCTTTGGAATCACAACTTGCCGAACAGAAGACACAAGTCGAGGAATTGGAGGATGAATTACAAATCACAGAAGACGCGAAATTGAGACTCGAGGTAAATATGCAAGCTCTGAGGGCTCAATTAGAACGAGAGGTTCAAGCCAAGGAAGAACAGGCTGAAGAAAAACGTCGAGGTCTCGTGAAACAATTACGCGATTTGGAAGCCGAATTAGAGGATGAAAGGAAACAGCGTGCCGCAGCTATTGCACAGCGAAAGAAAATGGAAGCTGATTACAAGGATATTGAACAACAATTGGAAATGCACAATAAAGTAAAGGAAGACGCTCTCAAGCAATTGAAGAAACTTCAAGCGCAAATTAAGGATTGCACAAGAGAAACAGAGGAAGCAAGAGCAGCTCGTGATGAATTGGCTGCAGCATCAAAGGAAGCGGAACGCAAGGTCAAGAGTTTAGAAGCTGAACTTCTTCAATCGAACGAAGATCTCACAAGTAGTGAACGTGCAAGACGAGCTGCCGAAAATGAACGCGATGAACTTCAAGAAGAATTGAATAACAATGTTAATAAGGGAACATTAATGTTGGATGAGAAACGTCGATTGGATGCAAGAATAGCAACACTTGAGGAAGAATTAGAGGAGGAGCAGTCAAACAGTGAAATTTTGATGGATCGAGCTAGAAAAGGACAGATCAGTATTGAACAATTGACAACAGATTTAGCGACAGAACGTTCAGCAACGCAAAAACTTGAATCTCAGAGAATGTTACTTGAGCGGCAAAATAAGGAATTGAAGGCAAAACTCGCTGAATTAGAGACTGCACAACGTGCCAAGACCAAGGCAACAATTCAGGCTCTCGAATCAAAGATTAATAATTTGGATGAACAACTTGAGACTGAGGCAAAGGAAAGATTCGCTCAACAGAAAATCAATCGAAAATTGGACAAGAAATTGAAAGAATTGAGTTTACAATTGGAGGATGAGAGAAGAAATGCCGATCAGTACAAGGAACAAATGGAGAAAGTTAACACGAGAATGAAGAGTCTCAAGAGACAATTGGACGAAGCCGAGGAGGAAATTAGCAGGCACAAGGCTCTTAAACGAAAAGCGCAAAGAGAAATGGACGATATGATTGAGTCCCAAGAAGTTTTGACACGTGAAGTTGCAAATTTGAAGAATAAACTCAGGTAAATTTTTTGAAATTTTTAATAACTTATAATATTATTTATTTAAAAAAAAATTTACTTTTTTTCATTCAATTATTTTATTGTCGAGAAGGTATAGCGAATTTTACATTTAGAAAATACGGTAATTTAAAATGACAGTTCGCTAAACATTCTTGTTTTATTTATTTCTTTATTATTTATTTAATTTTTTTAATTCAATATAAATGAATATGAATGCGCAGTGAAGTAGATCAAAAGACACAAAAGACGCATAGCAGAACGTTGGGTTCCTACCGTGGTTATTGGAAGGATGAAATTATAAACTCTTTTAACGTGTAGGTATTAAATTGAGATGGAAACCCCGAAAAAGAATGTTTGCCTGAAAATTTATTTTCCTGAATAGTCTGAAAGTGCAATGTCTACTTCCTCAAATATTCTTTTCAGAATTCACAATTGTGTGATTCTGCCTGGTTTGCATTTGAAACCCTTTATTTTCCTCCCTTTTTTCTTAATTTATTTCTTTTAAGGTAGTTTATTAGCGTGTGTGTTTGACGAAAGTTCAAATTCAGTTACATTTTTGAAAAATGTAATTTTATAATTTATTTATTTTCTTTTTTTACTTATATTTTATAAATATATTTCTGTCGCTGATAAATCACCTTACGAAAAATCATTAATAATTTCCTATTTGATTTGTAAAACCAATTAATAATATTTTACCAAAAGGGAATTATCAACTAATCTCGTATTTTTGAAACACAAATCCAAAAAGGACAAAATTCCTATCAATGTGAGATAAAATGTTTACCTGCATCTAGTGTTTTTATCTCCAATTAACCACATTTACACTGTTACAATAATTACCCGAAAAAATCTTTTCCCAAAAAAAAAATTGTGATGTTTTTCCTTTTATTTAATTTTCAAGATAAAAATGATAAAAAAAATTTATATTTTCTTTTCTTTTTCAAAAAGGCGTGGAGGACCACCAATTAGTTTGAGTTCATCGAGATTGAAACGTGGCTCAATGCAAACTGGTGGCTCAGGTGACGATTCAACAACGCAAGATGAAAGCATTGATGGTGAGGAAAATGCAAATTGAAACCAGACGTCTTCCGCTGCGGTAATCTGCGGCCATAAACGCATAATAAATTCGTCTAACGAATTTTTCAAGAGTCTGGGGGTGTCTCTCCATAAGTTACAAGAAAACATACACACACACACACATACACATAGAATAAGCGTGAGTCATTAGATTGATTAATCGCTCTCGGTGTGACCAATTTTTTTTTCTTTTTTTTTTTTACAATGAAATGCGTATTCGCATGATGATGATAATAATGGTCCCCGCATTTTGAATTGCCGGTGCGATTTTGTTGGCAAAAGATACAAAAAAAAAAAAAAAAACAAAGAACGATAAACGTCACGTCGCATGCAGGTGATAGGAATAAATTCTTTCTTTCTTTTTTTTTATTATTATAGTAGTATTATTATACGATTTTTCCGTGAGATGCCATCAAACGAAGAAAGAAAAAAAAAAAAAAAAAAAAAAACAGAGTTTAATGAAAATGTACATAACTTTACAGCTTACTAACTGACCGTGGAGCGGTTTTATTACTGGCATGACTGTAATCATAAAAAAATAAAACGAATCGGGAGTTTTAGGTAATGATGAAAAGTAATCGTGGGATAGAAAAAAAAGAAAAAGCAGATTGCTGCATAATTGAAATAACTGAATAACACTTTTAGGTAGTATTAAGACATTAATTATTATTATTATTATTATATTATTATTATATTATTGATACGTTATTATTATTATATTATTATTATTTTATAACTATTATTACGATCAGCATCCTCCCACACGTACTACAGTAATTATTAATGTATTTTAATAATTAACTAATATAATGTAAGAATCATCAAAGTGAGAAGATAATGAAACAGAGCTGCCTCAAAGAGTGCAAGTTGGTTTCATTTTAAAAGGTTTCAGGTTTAAAATCGACTCTTCTTCCTTTATCTCAGTATTTTTTAGCATGTTTTTTTTTTTGGTTTTTTTTTGTTTCTATTTTTGGAAATGATAAAGAAATTCTTCTTTTGATAAAAAAATGCTTACTTTCAGAGTAGATTATTTTATTGCATTTATACAATTTTCTTGTTTTTTTTTTTTTTTTTTTTTTTTTTGGCATTATACACAATGTATATGTACATGTATATAATGTATATAATATAAATGATATATTATATATATTATATGTACTCAATTGAATTTAGTCGTTAAGGTTTTCTTTCCATTCCTCCGTCTTCGGCACCGCATGTTTCGAGATAACGAATAATGTTACTTAAAAGCTGACTTTTCCTCGTATTGTACTTAAGCTCTTGTAGTTGGCAACTTAACCTTTTGAAATGAAATGAATGAATGTGCCTTGCAGGCTCAAAGTGATAGATATCGCGATTTTATCCTAAAAAAAAAAGAAACGAAATTGTGCGAAAATTGTCAAAAGAAACAAGTTCGATTTACTCATATCGAGAAACAAAGATGCTGAGATCGTAGAGGGGAAAAAAAAAGAATGAAAAATTGTGTAAACTGCCGATGAATTGAATGATGTGAAGACGGAATTTTATACCTGCATTTTTATAGGCATTTTATAAAATTCTTTGTATTCAGAGGTTTTTACAAGGTGTCATCGCAAGGGCTAGTATATTTTTTGATGCAAGTAGCTGCAAGCGAGAACACACATTATACAGAATTCAAAATTATACATATTATAAAAAAAAAAATGTTTCTTATATATATATATTAAAAAAAAAATAGGGCCTTCGCTATTAACTCCATGAAACTCTTAACAGCTTTTTAGGGATCTAGGCAAAACTTTTCTCAAAGAAACGGCAAATAATTATTTAAAAAAAGGAAAAAAAAATAAACTACTGCTCTGTGAGACAGTGGATCTAGACAGGACTGAGACTCCGTTATTCGATCGAGAGAAACTTTTTCAGTATTTTTAATATCAAAAATAGTATCCAATCTGTATGTATGACTTTTTTCCCTGGCGAAGAAATCCATAATTTTTTTTTTCTTTTTTGATGATTAATTTACAATTCTTTATATTATCTCTTCTAATTAGATAATAATCCCTGATTAGAATTATCAATGATTCACAATTATGAATCATTATTATTGATTATTATTATTCGACAATATATTGTAATTATTATTTAAGTTAAATAATTCGATAAAAAAAAAGAATTGATTTTTGAATAAAAATGAACTTGTGACAATCCTTCGCCAGGGTTTAGATCCAATAACTCGCAATCAGTACCATTATTATGTAAATACATGACTGAATGTATTCGGGGTACTCACTTCTTGCTTATATATCGTACGCTTTGAATTTTCAAAAAAAAAGAAAAATGATCAAAAATTAAAACAAATCTCTTACACCGCCATCGCCTTAAGTTTTTTTTTTAATATACTGCTTGAAATCAAAATGAAAACGAAGTGGGCACTCCCAAGATCTGCGGGCAAGTGAGGGAGAAATGGACAGCGATTAAAAAAAGAAAAAAAGAAAACGATTTAAATTGAAAGAAGCGAGGGCGTTTTTGATACATTTTATATGGATTGAACATAAAGGGGTTGATTGCATCTTAAGTATACAAGAGAAAATATAATAAATGCTGAATACTGAAATTCTTAAAAAATGTTTTTATTTCTCTTTCATATTCATATAATGAATTAAAATAATGTAATGAGTAACAAGGTAATGTTTTTTATTAATATATTTAAATTTTATTCTGTAGATTCGGTCTTTTTTTGTATTTCTTTCAGTTGTCGAACCAATCCAAGTGATGCAAGATCCAAGGGAGTTTTTTTTTCCTTATTCTCAGACAAAATATCGGCACCATTAGTTACAAGTAATTTCGCTTCATCTTGACGATTTTCCTCGCAAGCCAAATGTAACGCTGTGTTCCCGTAAACGTCTTTTGCATCTGTAAAGATTGTTTATTTTTCAAAATGAATATTAATTTACAACTAAAGGTAATTTTTCAAATTATACATTTTTTTTTTATTATTTTTTTAAAATGATAATTCGTGGAACGAAAACTTACTTATTTTCAAATCTTTTTCTTGTTCGAGGAGGAGTTTAACGACATTTATATTTCCTTTGGATGCAGCTCTATGCAAAGGAGTCGCTCCTCTGATATCAGTGATATTGATATTTGCCCCGTTTTTAATGAGGGTTTCACAAATTTCGACCCAATTTTTCGAAGCGGCATATTGTATTGACGAATGTCCGTCTTCTGTTTTTGCATTCACATTGGCACCTTCTTTTAACAAAATTTTGACGACATTTTTACGACCACCGGAAGATGCAAGAATTAGAGGTGTCATACTCATCTGAAAATAATTTTCAAGTAATTTTTTTTTTATTTATTAAAACAATGTTTTTTTATTCAGAGGTGAATTAACGAAAAGCGGTTTTAATTTGAATTATTTTATTACTTGCGAATTTGTTGACTAATCGTTAAATTTTTATTTATCACATTAGTAAAATTAAATAATTAATTTTTAAAAACATTTTTCTACTCTAGTATTTAAATAAGTTTTTTCAGGAAAACGATTTCAATATTCAACTCTGATTTTTTTTTGATAATTATTTAAAATCTTTGAAATTATTAATATATATTTTTTATATATTATTTTATATATTTTTATATCTTATTTATATTTAATATTCAAAATTTCTTTTTAGTAATATTTTTTATGAGACGAGAGAATCAATTTGAATTTCGCGCTCCCTGTTCATTGAAGAGAATGAGAATCAAAGATGGCAGCCCCCATGAAAGCATTTATCATGTTGAATACATTTATTTAATGATGAATAAATAAAAGATTTATTAAAACTTACATCATCTTGTGGATCAACAGGAAATCCATTGGAGAGCAAGTAAGTAACAAGATCTTCATGTCCTCCTAATGCAGCCCAGTGAATCAGCATTCGTTTATTCTGCGCATGAAAAAAGTAACATAACCAACAAAATTTGAATGCAAAAGATTTTTAAAGAAATATTTACCTCATCGGTTTCAGATTTTAGTTTTTGATTCTCATTTAATAGAATTTTAACAGCTGCAGTTTTTCCACGATATGCTAAATCATAAACAGTTGGCTCTTGTTGGCGTGGCATTCTTTTATCCATTTTGCAAACTTTCTGCGTGTTTACGTATAATTTCGAATAATTGACAATTGACAGTGTGGAAAGGAAGATTCTGACTTTATTCACTGCAATTCTTTTATTCAATCGATAATATTGAATTTGTTTATTTATAAAAATTTCACTATTTTTTGTTTACTATGAAATAAATTAAAATTTAACTTTTTTTGAAAAAAGGATTAAATAAATTAAATTGTTTGTAAAGTTATTTAATTTATATTTGTTTATAAATTTAAAAAAAAATATGTATAGAAATTTTTATTTGATTTTTTTTTTGGAAAAGTTTAAAATTTTTTTCACATTTAAATATTACTTTTTTTTTTTTAAAAAAAGGAGAATTCTTTTTGCCATTTACATGGCACGTCACTTTTCGGAGCAACCTAGACACACGCGATTATGCAAATGACTATTTGAAAACCCGTTCTAGCGAAATCTTTTATATTCTATGATAAAATGGATTGCCGGATCAAAAGAAGCTGCCACCTCAACTGGAAGCCGACGGATTGGTTTAAGAAAATTTTTCAAGGATATAGATCCATACCCAAATAAATTATATCCCATATGGAATATTTTATAAACTTATCACTAAACAAAAAAGCAATTTTGAACTTTGATTTTTTTTATATTTTTTCCTAAACAATTGTATACTGTGATGAGTTAATTAATTTTTTAATGACACTTTAAATGAATAAATTATATGAAGAAACTGATGGAATAGTCCTTGAAAAATTAAAATTTTTATTATAACAGTTTTTCTTTCTTTGTTTAAAAACGTATTATTTATTATTATTTAAAAACATTCTTTTCTCTTTTTATAAAATTTCTTTTATCCTCAAAGTTATTGTAATTTTTCACAGTACAATATTGATGGCAAAAGTCATAAGAAAGTAATTATTCCAGTAATCGAGAAAAATAATAAAATCCAGCCCTTTATGAAATCTACGAGTCATAAAAAATTAAGACATGCAATTAAGATGAAATACAATCTCGTTTCAAAGTATGAAGTCTCATGTTGAATCTAAAATTAATTCTTTAAAAGCTTAGTCTACTTTTCCAAGAGAGAAATAGATTTATTTTCTGGAACAAGTACTTGATCAATAATTTATGTATAAGTGAATTTTTGTAATTCAAATTTTTTTTATATTTGCCTCTCCTCAGTTTCTAGCTAACATTTACAAAAAAAATTTCTCATTTAATTCAAATTGTTTTTAAACAATTTTTATTCTTATTTAAAAAATTTTATAACTTTTTTCAAAAATAAAAATTATCACTGGTTCCGTATCTAAATTAAAGTTTTAATTAAATTGTAATTATTTTTATATAGCCTTTTTTTTATCAAAGTAGAACAAAGCTTCAATTTAATAGAAATAAAATTGTATCTTTGAAATGTGAATATTTAAAAATAAAAGATTTTGCTTTCAATGTTCTTATTTTATAAAACTATTTTTAATTTTTCTTTTCAGGTGTTTGATTTCGTATATATAACGATAATCAATATTAATTATGATTTAGTGAATTGAAAATTGGTTTTCAAAATTGTTTTTGCAGATCAATTTCCCTCAAGTGCCCTGAATATAACGAGTTTGAACTGATAGTATAGTAGGATTTGTTTACGACAAGACGCCAACTGGAAGAATAGCTAGAAAGTTTTTCGTTTCCATTCACGTACATCTCGCTGTCGGACTCATTCCACTAGACAAGCATTGTTGACTCACTGAGAACGCCAAATGGAATTATTGTTATTTTTACGAGGACAACTTTTCTGCCACGACTAAGCAGAAATCTATATATCGGCCCGGTTAAAGATGGAGCGTTAAAGTTCTCAAGATTTCTTCTCTTATCTATCTTCTTCCCCTTTCACATTTTTCCTAAATTCAACACTCTTTATCCTCTTTTTTTTTCTTTTCTCTTCGATGCGGCTAAAAGTTCAAAAACGCCCTCACAGGCTACAAAGAACTACCATTAAAACTTGATTTAGTATTTTCTTCAAGAAATTCATACTGTTTTTTTTAATTTTATTTTATTTTAGAAAATATGTAAAAATTGCATTTTAATATTTTTACTCACAGATAAATATTTTTTAAAAATTATTAAAATTTCCCGTCAATTTCTCAATTCTTGAAATCCGCGACCAAGTTTCGCGGAATCCGTGATTTATATTCGCAAAAATCGCGACCTTGATCCACATATTCACGATCTATTAATTTAAAATTATTCAAAAAACTAGCAAAATTAAACGCGCCAAATTGAGTATTTAATTGTTTGTTATAAAGAAATTAAAGATTAATATTATCAATAATAATTTAATTTATTAGAATATTATTACATATTAAATGATAATAATTAAAATTATATGTTTACAGGCCTCGGATTATACGACTTTTTTCGACTTTTTTCAAAAATGCGACTTTTATCGACTTATTTTAATAAAATGCGACATTTTTTTTTACATTTGAAAAAAAATGTAAATAAAAGACATTTTTTTTAGTATAAAATGTAGATCTTCTTCAGATCTTCTTCAATTCAATTATTTAACAAATTTTGAACTAAAATGATTCTTCACTAAATTAATTATTTTTAATAATTTTAATTAAATACATCACAAATTCAATTATATCAAAATTAATTTTCAATTAGAATTTTTATGAAATTTAACAATTGTTCATAATTTAAAAAAAAAATATCACAATAAAATTGAATTATTTTTTAAAAATTTCAATTCAAAATAAACTAAAATTCAATTATTACCCGAAATTTTAATTCAAAATCAATTAAAAATCCAATAATTATCCAAAATTTTCAATTTAAAATTTAATTATTTACCAAGTTTTCAATTTAAAATGAAATAAAATTCAATTATTTTCTAAAATTTCTATTCAAAATTAATTATCCAAATTTTCAATCAAAAATGAACTTAAATTAAATTATTATTCAAAATTTCAATTAAAATTCAATTCTTTCCCAAAATTTTCAATTCAAAATGAACTAAAATTCAATTATTTTCCAAATTTAAAATCAAATAAAATTTCATTATTCTCAAAAATTTGAATTTAAAATTAATTGAATTTTCAATAATTTGAATTTAAAAGCATCTAAAATTTAATTATTTCTAAAATTTTCCATCGAAAATATTTTTTTTTGAAATTTAATAATTTCAATTATAACTCTAAGGAAATTCAATTATTTTTAACTATTTTAATAATATTCTTTGAAATTTCAACTATCTGAATCCATTTTTTAATTAAAAATGATTTTCAAATTATTGTATTTTGTCTGCATTTTCTAATAAATTTTTAGTGAAATCATCTAAAATTTTAATTACAAAACACCGAAAGTTTCAATTAATTTCAAAAATCTCAATTTTAAATCTTTCAAAATTCAATTAAATTTAAAAAATGTTTTCCAAAAATTGTTTGATAAATTATTTTTAGTTCTGTAAAATTTAATAATTGTTGGAAAATTAACAATATCTTTTGAAATTTAATAATTTCTAAAAATTTCAACTTTAACCCTTCGAAAAGGATTTTTATTAAAAACAAAATTTTTTTATTTAAAAATCTGTAAAATATTTTTGTTAAAATAAAAAACAAATACACTTTTTTTTTAATATAAATCGACTAAAACGACTTTTTGTGTCTTTAAGTTGATTCGAGGCCTGTGTTTTTATAATTAATATTTAATAGGTATTCGTTGGCCCCTGGTATCTTAAAAATTAATTTTTAAAAATAAATTTTTTTCAAATTACTATCTTGTACGAAATTTCCTGGCGCATTTTTTTTCTCATTATAAAGTTTTTGTATTTGTATACAATTTTTGAATCAATATACAACTTTAAAAAAAATTTCGTTGGTAAACGTTGTGTACTTCAGCTTCGTGAATTGAATTTTCGAATTTGGAATTTTAAAGAAACTTATTCCGAAATTTGTAAAAACAATTATACAACTTTGGCAAAAATGAGAAAAATAATTGTCAAAATTTGACACGTCATGAGATTACTATTCAAAAAAACACGTGAAATCAGAAAAAGCCAACTTCAAGTTAGGACAGAAGGACAGACCAAGTATTTTATTATTCAAATAATTTTGGAATATTTTTTTTTTAATCTCATAAAATAAAATGACGGGTCTCTTAAAATTGTTGTCACAACATATTTTAATTTTCGATTCATTCATCCAATAGAGTAATGTGTGAGTAAGGAAGAAATTTACGGTTTAGATTTTATTCTCTTTCTCAATTTTCTGTCTCCCAACCTCAAGTCTAACTTTCTCATCCCTTGTGCTTAGAGATTCTGTCTTGTGAAGTTTAAGAAGGAAAGTTCGAGTAAGGGTTAAACAGCCTATACAGACATGCACTTTGCACACGAACATGTGAGATAAGCAGAGTCTTCGCAATCGGTACTGTATAGCTTAGTTTCGCTTGGGGATGTAATTTATACTTCGTTTACTGAAAACATTTGCTGGTTTTCTCTTGCTTCACTGTCTTCTCTTTCTCAATGAAAACTTTCATGGAAAATGTAATCGGATTCTTCGAAGAAAAAAAAATTTGTTTTCACACTCATTAACAGTGTGTGAAACAATTTATAATTTCGTTTTTTTTTTTTTAAATAATTCAATTAATTTGTGTCTCAATAGAAATTAAGTCTTCGAAATCTTTCTTTTATTATAAAAATTAATAAATGATTATTTTATGCACTTTTGTTTTTATCATTTATTTAATGTGAAAATTGTAATTAAATGTATTTTTTTTTTTGTGGAAATTGAAAAATAATATTGTCAGATTTCTTGTGAACTAAACAGTCTACATTTTTCATAGATGTCTTTCGAGTAGTTGGTAGATGGGTGAATTGGTTGGAAGAGACGAAGGTCTGGTCACGTTTCGCGGAATACAAACAAGTCAGAAGAGCACCTCCAAGTGTTTGAGCTACCAATTCAGGACAGTTTAACGACCTAAATGTGCTTTTGATAAAAATACAGTGAAACACTGTCAGCGAGGTTTTCCACGAGAAACATAGGTAAGTTGTTCTCTGCCAAGATATTTCTATTTTTTTTATCCTTTTTTTTCCTTTTACTTCTTCCTTTTCATTTCCACTTTAAATCGATTTTATCAGCTTTCAAGCACTGAACATCGACTTGGAAAGAGTATTATATTGGAAGACGGGAATTGATGACAAAATGAAAAGCGACTCTTGAGAACAATATTTAATTAGAATTAACGTTTTCCTTTTTTTTAAGGTAAATTCCAAATCAGAAAAATTATTGAATTTTATTATCAATAAAGCAGAAAAATGATTTTATGGAGATCTGTGGCACTATATGTATATTAGTGTACGTGTCAGAGGGATGCGTTTTATGGCTTATTTAATAAAAACGTGTATTACATCGTTGCACCAGCAGTGAACACATTCTCCTGTCGTTTTTTCCTGGTGAGTTCGATTTTTAATGTATGACGATTGCAACTTGCATGAGCATCACGTTTTATGAAATGTATTTTTAGTTCTATTTTCAAAAAAAAAAAAAAAGTGTTAACGACATTTCTTTTAAGATACGTGGTTTGAAAGAGAAAATTTAGTTTGTTTTTTTCTATATAATTTTAACGATAATGGAAAATATATTTCGAACTTGTAAAAATATTTAATATATCCAAATATTTCGAATTTCACATATTTCAAATATTTGAAGAACAATTTAATTCTAAATATTTCTCGATTAATGAACATTCACTGATAATTCTGAATTTATGAATAATTTAGATTTTCAGAATTCATATAATTTGATGAAGTTTTAATAATGTTTCTTTCTTTTATACATTTTTTAAAATAATTTTTTATTACTGAAAAGATGCAAATTTATTTATTATTAATATTATTAATTAATTATTTATTTTATCATTTTACTATTTAATAAACTAAGACTACTGAATAGAATCTTAGTTGTCTTCAGACAATTTTCATAAAGGGAATAATTCACTTGTTCTGAGATTAACTTGGTCTAATGGATGCTGTGTATGTGACGTGTTACCATTCATAGTGCATGGACCGATCCTATGAGTAAAGGTATCAGGTGGTTTATGGGTTTGAAATGTCAAGCAACAGACGATCTGCTCGAGACGCCTAACGTCATGGACAAACCACGAATCTGGTAATTGCGATATGGTTGCGAGAACAGTTTCTGTTTGCACTAACGTTCTACCTCAATGCATCCCTTGATTTCTCCCTAAACTCCAAAGATCAAAGTCACTGTATATCGTTATATTATTGCTTCAGTATTGACAGTGATTATTCTCAAAGTCAATAAATAACGAATTTTCATTCAAACATACAAACAGACACTTTCGCCGGACCATGATTTTTCGACTCAGGGCACCTCAAAACGTAAAGATTTTATGGAAATAGAAAAAGTCAATTTTCGACCAATTATAATACCTTCTCATGTGATGAGAATGTAAAAAGGAAGAATTTAAAATATCCGTTCATATGTATTTATATTATATTATAGTTAAAAACTTTTCTTGTCTGCAGCAAGAATAATATCTCTCATAGAACATCAATGTGTATGTCAAATATTATATCACCGTTACAAACTCCTGCGGTAGTAACTTCAATTTAGATGGTCTAATGCTTGATAAACCTTGGGTTTAAATTGTGAGCCAACTTGATACGATGTTATCCCGAAGGAGTTATATTATTGATCTTCCTGAGAAAATTCCCAATTCCTTCTACCCCTCAGGAATACTTCGTCAATGGAGTCATTCTACAGGGGAACATAGATTAATTATAAGTCAAAACATTGAATTATATATATAATTTTAGTCCCAAAGGATCAGTGGTCCTGTGGATCTAAATCATCAAAAAAAAAAATTCCAAATTTTGTGAATTTAAAAAATAGAAATGAGAAATTAAGACAAAAACAAAATTTTAATTAAATTAATTGATATTTAAACAATTAAATAAATAATTATAATTTGATAGGGAGAATCTTGCGCACGCGTGTAATTTATCTGCAAATAATCGATATTATATATAATAATATAATAGATATTATATCTCAAAATTCTGAAATATAACTACAGTTACAGTCAGACAAAACTTTTTCGAATTTTACAATTCTAGAATATGGATTTAAATAAACGATTTTTTTAATACATTTAATATATTATTTATACTTTTTTTTTTATTCAAGTAAGAACATTACAATCTACATATTTATTTACAATCGATGAATAAAAATCTAATCAACTACCTGCAAAAACATTTCAGTTTATTAAAATACTTTTGAGCCATAATTGCGAGTAATTGAAATAAAATTCATTGACAAAATATGAACACCATATTGTTGTTTTTTTTTTCATTAGATCGAAGATTATGAAAAACAGTATAATGTTATATAAAAAGCTTTCATTATATACATGTTGATATAGAAAAAGGAGGACGTTGATAATGTTTATATCACTTTTTAAAATATTTTTCACCAACAAACGTAAAAGAAAATAAAAATTCAACAATTTTACTTGCAAATAACATTCTATTTTAAAATGACTGTACATTTATATTTACATATATATGGTAAATTGATAAAATTAAATTAAAATATAATATATATTTCAATGAATAAAAAGAAAAAAAAATTTGAAAGCTTTATTTCATAAAATTTTTGTAATAATTCAGTTTTGAATCAAAATGAATTATAGTATAATATTTCTATCGCAAGAAATATGATTTCATTTTTCCTGTAACAAGTAGATTTATTCTCGCAAATAACAATAACAAGCGGAGTGTTTCTCAATGTTCAAACTCTATATCTCATAATTTTTGATCACAAGAAAAACACTCGATAAGAATATTGTCACTTTTATAGGTGCGTAGAAACAAGTAACAAATACATTATACACACAATAGCTTCAGATTCGTTAAAAAAAAAGAGAAAAAAAAAGAAATGAAAAAATAAAGGTGCGATAAATTGTGCGAATGAACTAAAAAAAAGAGAATACCGATTTTTCTTTGATATGAAACTAGATCTTTAAATATTATACATAAGAATTATAGACTAAATATCGATAAATGACTTATAACATTAATATATTATAGATTTCACATTTGGTATATAAATATTATTTACATTCTCACTCTTGTGTATCATTAAAGCGCCTAGACTTAACATTATTCATTTACATAATTTACATAGGTACAAAGAAAGAGGGATGTTTTGCGAACAATCGATCAGTCTTTAAATAAACTTATTTGGACTTAAAGCTTAAAGCCAAAGCGTTACTTAAAATATTAATTTTCTAAGTTAATAAGTTTACTGAGAGCAAAAAGAAAGTAATTTTCTAAAACTTTATCAACAAAATATTAATCGGAGCAATATATTTTAATTAAAGGGAATATTATAAATATAAATGCAAATATTTTAAATCCTTTAGACGCTTTTTTATAAAAAAAACTGTTTTTTTTTTATTGAAAAAAAAGAATTGTATCACAATTTATGATATCGTTATTATTTTGTATTTAAAAAATATCTTTAGATATGCAATGTGTTTTAATATTGTTAAAAAAAATTTTTTTTGTTTATGTAATTAAACATTTGTTTTGAATTAATAAAAATATTTTATAAATTTTTTAGATATGCAAAGTCGACTGATCTAACAAACCCTCACAAAAAATATATATATATATATTTTTTTGTTTACTTTAATTCTTTATAGATTGCATTTATAATATTTAAGTATAACAAAATCTAAATAATAAAAACCTCATTAATCAATAATAAATATTAAAAGAAATTTATTTAAATCTACTTGTTTTTTTTTTTTTGTTTAATTTTTTACTTTTACTATTATTTTTTTAAACATTAAACATTTAACAAATTTAAGAGAAATTTGTTTTTCTCAAATTTCTTTCATAATTTTATTGGAAAAAAAATGAAGAAAAAAAAATACCTTATTTTATTAATAATGCTTTACACATTGTTGTCAAGGCTGTTGTTGTCTTCGACAACTTGTTCGGATTGCGACTGACGATTTATGCAATCTCGCACTGCTTGTAATATTATGCCAACCCTTCTGTCAACTGCGACGTAATGTGGATCCCACAGAACTGGCGACACAGGATCCTTTGACAAGCTTTGGCTAAGAGCATCACCCAAACTTAGAGGACCATTGTGATATCTGAAATCAAATATCAATTGTTTATTTTAATTACAAAATTTAGTAATTTGATTTATAAGTGGTCTGGGAATTTTCAGTAAGAAAAATTTCTAAGCACAATATTATTTAATTCAAACACGAAATATGAGGATAATTTAAAAGTGACTATTAATTTAACAAAAAATAATAAAACTTAACAAAAAAAAAAAAAAAAATACGACTGGAACGGAAATTATATGCAATGGTATTGTCTTGTAAGTTTCTTTAAAGTACACATTTTTTTCACGAGAAGCAAAAAAGTTTTCAAATACCTCACGAGAGGGATTTCATAGTTCGTGGGAAAATTCAGGTGTAAAATAAATTGTTTCACATGCCATAGTTTGCAGCCCGTATCGCTAATAAAAAAAAAAGTGAGTTGATTGATTCAACACAATGATTTCTTTTACTCTGTAACTGAAATGAAGTTTATTATTTGGTATACAAATTAAAGAGACATGTTATTGTTTTCATAAACTTGGGAAATTATCTATTCTAATTAAATTTTTTAAATATTTCATAACATTTATACGAATTTTTCATTCACTATATATTTTTTTACAAACATCAAGAGAAGGGTATTTTTTATTCGACATATTTTAATACGAATATCAATAGAAGGCTATATAGATAGAAAATAGAACATATATAGAATGGCTTTTCATGGATAATATTCGATGGGTTATCATTCACAGGAAATTAGATTATGGTCCACTTTCTGGTTACAGGAAAGTGAACTTTAATTCAGCTAGATTAATTCAGATGAAAATTTTGTTGAATATATAATCGAAAAACTAATAAAAGAAAAAAAATGAATAAAAAAAATAAATTTTTAACTACATTTCAAGCGTTTAAAATGTAAAATTTTTTAAAAGTACTTTTTAAGAGAAGAATATAAGAAAAGATGATATAAATTTTCAAAGAAGACAGAATAAAGTGCAAAAGGGACAATGGAAGTTGAAAGAAAAATAACAAAAGAACTAGATATATCTATATAGTAATTTTAAAGTACCTCCGTAATATGATCACAAATGATAGAAGGGAATGGAAATTTTTTTTTTAAAATCAAAATACCATTTAAGCACGAAACTGACCGAGGACCAAGCAAAATATGATTTAATGGAATATACTTGAAACACGCAACGAGAATTTACCGATGACACGTGTCAGAAACGAAATTGAACTGATTGTCATTTCTATATTTTACGGTGTCATAAATAGCTAGAAACATAAATATTGAACGCCACTTATGTACTTCTCAATTATTATTATTTTTATTATTATTAGTATTCGTTCTCAATCTCAAATCAGAATAAATTTTCATTTTAAAGTTCCATTTTTAATCGTTTTTTTTTTCGTCTAAAAATATAAATATCACATTACAGTAAGAAATTCTGGGGAATGAAAATTGATTTCTTAAAAAACTACACTCATACTTTATTTAAAAAATACTCGAATAAATATATCTCTTTAGAAGTTGGAATATATATATATAAATATATAATAATAAAATATAAATTGCTCTTATAATTTCTAAAAATAACTAACTAAAAGTATATCTTCTATTCTTTTCATTGGAAAATCAATAATTCGAAAATTGAAAATTTGAAAGGCGTGTGAAATATCCGAAAATATTTTTTTTACTCTTACGAATTTTTCAATTTTATTAATCTTTACAGCCCAAGGCATTTTTTATAAAAGAGAAAATTAGATTTTTTTTGACAATATAAAATTGAATTTGACGTCAAACGACGAAAAACTCATGAGAAATTGTTTTCTGTATTTAAAAATCAAATTTTACCGTAAAAAAAAAAATGATGAAAAATAGAAATTTAACAATATTTTTCGATTCTTTTTAATGTTTTTCTCAAGAGCTTCAAATTAATTTTGAAAATTAATTTACAAATGGAATATTTATTGTAGATTTATATAAAGAAAGTTTTGAAACTTAAAAAATAGAAATTTATTCGATGTTATTAGGAATAAAAATTCTATTTTCAATTTCAATTAGTAACTATACTTTTAACTTGACTTGTGTTTTTGAATCATTTAATCCCCATTTTAATATATTCTTCTGTGTTAGCAGGAAATGAAAAATAATGGATTCACCGCTCGGTTTCTTGGGAGTCAATGGAAGCCAATAATGGAAGATCTCAGGCGCTTCCTTATTCGGGTCCTAGGCCAATGAATAAAGTATTGGGTTAAGTAGATACGAGGCGAATATATATATTCTCGGGATTCGCGCCCAGTTTGAGTGCCAGAAGGTTTCAGTTGTACTCAAGAAGGATCTACCTCCCTCTGGCTACTTTCCGAGCATCAGAAAAGCTTGCGACTACTTTTACGCCCAATGGCGAGTATACGCGCGGTTTTAAAGATGAGAAAAAGAAAGAGAATAAGGTCCACTTAAATTTACTTTAAGTGACTCACTTTGAATTCCAGAGACGTTCACGACATTACTGCAAGCTTTGTTCACTCATAATATATATATATAATATTAGAATTTGTAATTCCTCGCATAACTTTAATTTATTCTTTAATAAAAAAACATATCACGAAATATTAATACTTTAAAAAATATAAAACTCAATAAATAAAAATATTCAAGTTTTTAGATTCTTTTTTACCCCCAAGATTATATTTTTAAAATTGTTTTTTTGTTTATATTTAAGCCGTGAAACAATTTGTTTTCCCTATAACTCTATTTTAATATTAAATAATAATAATAATAATAATAATTTTAAACTGGAAGATGATCTAAAACTTTTTCTATATAATCATATAATAAGAATAGAGTGGAAAACTTGAGTTTTGAAATATGTAAAAAATAATGAGACGAGTGAAAATTGAAAACCGAACAAAGGCGTGAAAAAAGGAATGGATAAAATAAAAAGTGGAAAAATTGCTTTGTCGAAAGAATAAAGAAAAGAAATAAAAGAAAGACAAAAGAGGTGAGAGGAGAAAGAAAATCGTGATCCAAGATGTACGTAAAAGCGTAACGAGCTAGCCGCAGGAAGCAATTATCTAATGATATTTGCGGTTAATAGGAAGCGTGTGGGTTACTTTAATCCATTTCTTTAACTGACTGACTTGACTTTAGATGAGGAAGTTCTTGAACAGATGCGGCAAATAAAATCTAATAAAAAAAAAAAACTTATTTAAATTCTCTATTTTTAGAGGTTTGTCACATAAAATACAATATATAAATTTTATGTATAAATTTCTCAAGCACAAAATATTATATTTAGAAGACTCGCATTGGTGAATTTGAATTAAATGAACTCAAGTTTTCCACACTGTGTGTGTGTGTAAATGTATTTGTACTATAAAATTTTCTCCTTGAATTTTCTCGGGATATCATTGGCGCGCCGCATGCCATTTACGATCTTCGGTTTACGTCCTGCTGATTTTTATGAACGTAACTTTTAGATGAAATTTGCCCTATATAAAAATTACTCAGCTTTCATTTTTGAATTCGTCAATGAACTTATTCAATTGCGAAAATAATTATCAAAATTATATATAAATGAAAGAATATAGAAAAATGAGAAAATTGACTTTTTTTTTTAAATAAAATTCAATCTTGGAAAAAAAAGAGAGATGAAAATAGAAAAAAATGTGTTTTGGTAAGATTTTACGAACCTTAATAAAGTAGTAAGGGTGCTTCTCTTAATCATGCAGCATTGCAGTATTGGAGTTAAACAGCTGATTTCATCATGGAATGGTTTGCCAAAGCCACGACCATGATCCACGTGCAGCGGAAACGTGTCGTTTCCAAACAACTTGAAAGTTTCGTAGTGATGCCGGTCCATGTTTCCCATGAGGAAATCCAAAACAGACATGTCCATTAAATCCAGTAACCTATGACCTTCGTTGTAGGGCGGAATCTCTTTGACCAATGAACAATAATCCGAATCTGAAAAGCAAAATTTGACACGAAAATAAATAAAATTTCTTTTTAAAGAAAATCAACAATATATTAATAATATCCCGATAAAATTATTAAAATTGAAATCATTTGCAAAAAAAAAGAAAATTTTGAATGAAATTGGAAATAAAAATTTATGAAGGAATGACTTTAAATCATAATGAATAAAAAAGTTGAGACGTTTTACCATTCTCCCATTGTGCTTTCTTGCGTTTATGATAACTCCTTCTCCATGGATGTCGCCAGACTTTTCTGCTCGCCACTTCTTTGTCGGGTAAAAAAGCGGCGAAGCTGCCCTCAAGCAAATCCGGATTTCCACAAACTGCATGAGAGGTATCGCAATAATAAGTACATCGACCATGTAGACAGAGATTGCCCGCTGGACTCACGAAAAATGTTTTCAAAATATCCCCAGTCGTAATTTGATAAATCTCCGTTGTCATATTCAATCTTCTCCCCGTCACTGGCATCGCTCTACGAAATCCCAAGAGTCTGAAAAAAAATATTATGTACATCATAAATAATTCATAAAAGAAAATCAAATTACTCGTCTTCTTAATATTTTAATAAATTTAAAAACAGACGATTAACAAAAAAAGAAAGAAAAATTACGGAATTTTTGATTCGATTAATAAATTATTAAATTTATTCAATGAGGAATTTTAATAATCTCACCGGTCTAGATGGAAAGCAGCAATCTCGGCATTATGTCGTTCAAAATCGGTGAAGTAAAAGTGATTTGGTAAGGTTTGCTGTTCGCGGGGAAACCTGTTGGAAAAAAGAAAAAATAAATTTCAATTAATAACAACTTATTTACATAGATCTCTAAACGTCCTTGATACTATTGCTCTAATTTGTAAAATGATCGTTTGAAAGTAATTACAAAACTAAAGAAAATCAAATAAGGAAACTAATAAAAATAATTATTATATAAAGTTGTAATATTTATATGTATAATATTTTTACCTAAAACGAATAACTTCTTTTATTGAATTAGGAATAAAATTTCCAAAATTGATTATACCAATTACTAATTTTTCTTCTTTTTTTTTTGCGAACTCTGATTCAATTTATTTATATAATGAGATTTTTTTGTTGAAAAATTCATTGTACGGTGCCTGGGCCATAAAAATAACAACGGATTAAGAATCGATTTCGGATGAGCGTCCTCACGAAAAGTACACCACGCGAATCTGGAAGGACAGGTCGTGCGAAAATTCCGGTAATAAATATAAGGGTTCGAGAGAGTTGAAAAACAAGCAAAATGAATGCAACACGTATATAATACGAAAATACGAAATCCTTGCAGTTATTAGCCTTTTTTTCTAATTTTAATTCAATAAATTGTGGATAAAAAAAAAAAAATTTACAAAAGATTTTTAAGAAAAACTTTGCTAACTGGCAGAAAAAAAGTCAGTCTGTTGTATTAAGATAAAACGCTTCTATTATTTTCTTCAACTACTTATCATATTTAAAAAAAACTTATAATTGGATGGAAATTTTTTTCTCTCTGTTGATATTTTTGTTTTATTAATTCTTTGTTTCCTTCATTATTCCTCTTTACTATTGTTTTTTTAAAATTATTTTTAATCAAATAAAATTTTACAATTAATTTTTAATTTTTTTGATTTATTTCTTTAAATTTTGTCTGCAAATTATTGTTTTATTTAGAAAAAAAAAAAAATTTGTTCAATATTTGAAAAGAAAATTAAAAAAAAAAGATTGTAGTTGACAATTAGATTTCAATAGTAATAAATCTCGAGTGTGTAGTGCTTCGGGATTTTTGAGTTTGAAACGCGAAGAGATATATTAAATTGTTTGAATGTACACGCGAAATCTCCTTCACCCTGGAGGCGCTCTGGAGACGCTTTTGTCAACAACGAAATTCCATTTGCGAATATTTGATCTCTCATGGTCGTAATTAATAGCGAAATAGAAATTTATTTGTTAAAAGGTAAAATTCTTTTCGTATATATGACGAAAAACACATTTGCTAAATGAATTTCATTTTCTCTCTTATACAATTTTAATATAATATTTTACAAATATCCTATTATTTTTATATATTAATAGCTTTATATTTTGTGAAGATTTCAATTTTCAATAAAACGAAGAATAAAATTAAAATTAATATCTCAACGAAATAAGTTTTCTTTCTTCTATTATAAATGAAAATGAGGGGATTTTATTTCAGACTTATTTGAAAATAAAAGAAGTTAAAATTAATAATTGTGTTTCCAATGTACGCTTCATAAATTCGCTTTCATAATATATAAGATTTGACATGAAAATTGACTCATAAAATTAGCTTAAATATTCCCTTTTCTAATTGACATTTGGCTTCAAAAGTTTAAGACGAGAAATTATCAATTTTTAATTATCTCCATGAAACGGGAAAATATTTTCATATCTATAAAATCTAAATTATTCAAAATAATTTTATCTTTCGTCACAGGTGAATTCAATTGTGAATTACGAGTGACTAAGAAGTGACTTGGGATAAGCATAAAATTTAGATCGGTAAATTAATTTTAGCAAATGTCAAGAAACTCTCGCAAGGATTCTAAAGTCATAAAAATAGTCAGGAAGAAGACATTAAATTTTATTATGCAAAAGAAAGCTTTTTAATGTAATAGCTAATAAAAAAAACTTAAAATATCCTTTTCATATTATGTTTCAATTTAAATGGTCCAATTTGAAAAAAAATCTCTATACACGAAGAAAAATATTAAATTTTTCATTGAAATAACAAAAAATTCTTTTTTTTTGTTATAAAAATTTTGTTAAATAAATTCTGTTGTATGTAAAAATTCACAAATTACAAATTTGATTGGAAAACACAAGTCTGGTCAAATTATTATATAAATAAAAAAAAAGAGATTTTTTTTTACGTTTTTTCGATCTGTGGAGGTTAACGTCAGTTTCGAGAAAGCGGGAGTTCTTTAAATACAGCTGCGATTGTCGAAGAGAGAAGGTGGGAAGGAAAACAGAGCAAAAATAAATGCAACGAGAAGTCTATAATATCCCAAGAAGGGAAAGAGAAAAAGGTTGAGATGTTTGGGGTTGGACTTGGGAGTTTAGAGAGGGCCAGGGGGGTGAGTGTTCAAGAGAAAGAGGTATAGAATAAGAAGAGACTGAAGACGTGAAAGAGAGGTGGAGGTAAGAAGCTTATTGAAGTCTCCCGGTATAGGGCAGCTAGTTTTGCTTCGTTATTTCTTTTCGTTTTTTTCTTTTCTTTTCTTTTTTTTTTTTAAACTTGAGACCGACTGAAGATTTTCGAGATAAGTAGTGGCAAGCAACGACCAGGCTTAAACTCTGTAATAAGTTCGGCAATAAGTTCCTCGCAGAAAGTTTCCACGGTTTGGATCCTAAAATTGCCGTCGAGAGGGCCCGTAACCTGTAATATTTCTCATTAGATGGAAAATTGGTATAGCGTGCCTCATTCCCTCAAAATTATTAAATAATCTGTTTTCACAAATTTTCTATCTCTAAAATCTTCGAATTTATCCTTTTTTAATTATAAATATTTAAATTAAAATTTTTTTTTTTTATTTAAAAAAGAAAATTAGTTGAAAAGCTAAAAATTGGTAATATCAATGATATGCACACACTCTTTAAAAACTTGTCAAGGAGGAAATAAATTTTTTCCATATAAGTATATTATGAAAGCAAAGAAGGGATGAGAGAGTTTACAACTTTCCGCTTTGAATATTTCAATAGATAAAAATTTCAGTGGTTAAAAATGTTCATTTTTTTTTTTTTTTGCAAAAAAAAGATTAGAAGCATATTATATGAATCGAAAAGAAGAGTGGAAAAAAGTTCTCCCCAGAGTAAAGTGCTATGTGTTGAAGTTTGGAACCAATAACGATGATAACCCAATGTGAATTGTAAAGTGTCGATACTACTCAAAGACTCTAACTATTATTTAGACTGCAGTGTTAGTAAGTCAAACCAACGAGAAACTTTGTGAAAAGTTATGAGTGAACCTTTATGCTCTCACAAGTTTCCTCTGAATTATCGATGATTCTCGAAAATATCTCCCAGAACAATTTATTCACTTGCGAATTCCTTGAAATATTGCAAGCATAATTTGAATATTAGAGGAAAATTTCTTTAAAAAAAAAAAAAAAAAAATTAATAATTTAATCGTAACTAAAAAAATGGATATTAAGAGTTTTTATTTGCTTTTATTTACACGTTCATAAACGACGTTGTTCTCACCATCACTTTCATCACACATGGTCTCTGACGTTTGGAAAATAAAAAGAAGACCAGTTAATTAAAAAAACCGAAACTCAAACAAGAAATACACTTGACTCATAGAAAATTAGAACTCAATTTTTCTCATTTAAAACTTTTCCCTCGTTTCTTTGCAAACAAGTCATTTAAAAATAACATTTGACTTCAGGAAAATTTGAAATTTGATTTGAATTTTTAATTAACTTTTACTTCTTTAATTAACTTTTTCTCAGTTAATTTTTGTTATATATTATATGAAATAGTCAAATTTATAAAAAATTACAATTATTTCACTAATTGCGAGATTTAAAAGTTGAGTGATCAAATATTAGAAGAGAGAAATAGAAATGAGAGGAAATGAATTTTCTCCATTCAGATATAATTTTATACTTGAGGGAAAGTATCGGAAAGTGGAAAAGGGCACATCACGAGTTTAACTTCTATCTTGACCTATCATCAAGTGTCTTTGAACCTTTGCATCTCTTTTTTTTTAAATAAAAAAAGAAAAAAAAATTGAAGTGGAAGGGAAAAAATTTAAAATTAGAACAATGGTGAATGTGACGTATCATCTACTTAGGTAGACAATATTAATTGAGTAGAAGGCGTGGTAGTAAAGCAAGGCTAACATTTCAAGTGGCTCTCAGGGACTGAGATACTTGAGATACCACTTATGTAATTGTGCTCGTAATCCTATTGCACGGTGTAACTTGCAATCAAGCACGAACTTGCAACTTGTGTATGTATATATGTACTGCCGGAAAAACCACGAAAATTAGACATTCACCTCACGTAACGATTAGTCTTCTGAACAAAGAAGTGTAATTTACAGTCTTTTCTGAAATACAAAAACATCTAACTTTCAATTTTTCTTACTTATTATTCTTTGCATTTACTTTTCCAACAGAAAATATATGAAAACAAAATTTTAAGAAACTAAAAATAAGTTTAATTAACTTTTGCAAGTGTTTTTGAAATTTAAAAAAAAAAAAAATTCAAATTCGTGAGAAAAATTCGAGAAATATAAATCAGAAAAAAATTCACGGCTTTTAACAAATGAAAATACGATTTTAACTAAAGTTTTCTTTATCAGCTAAAAAGGAGGATTAAATTCAATAAAGTTTTAAAAATACGTTTAGGATTATTTCGCTCAACATGTAACAGACTAATTGTTTAAGTAAGTTTCTAGGTCCTGCGAAACTGCGATACCAAAACTTTCTCGTTAACTTCTCTTCGCAATGCACATTCTGTTGGCTCTAAAGCAACAATAATTGCCATCTACCTCTGCTTTTTAAACGCCATTAAATCTTAAATACACAACAATTTCTGGTAATGACTCTAAGTTTTAGTGAATAATAATTTCCAGACATACCATTTCAGTTCGACAATGAATAAGAGTTGAAAATTGCATATTGTACTAGTTGCACTCAAATCATCATTTGTGATATTTCAAGATATTGAAAATCTCTTCAAGTTTTTCAAATATCAATTTATTTAAAAAAAATTTTTTTTTTAAATTCTTTTTCTTAAAAATCATTTTTAAAAGATATTACGAACTTAGATTAGAATAAACTAAAAATGCAATGTAAAAAAAAAATTGCATAACTTAATATATTCAACTATTGCTAAATTGAAACTAAGACGTAAGTTTTTAATTTTCTAGTAATTTACCTAATGAATACTTCGACTTACCTCATGGGCTTAAAAAGTGCCTGTGTATCGTTCCCATAATTAATAATCAATTTCAGCTGCGTTCCACCGCTTTTCTCATCTGCAAAATAATGAAAGAAATTATTTTCTCAGTGTAAATCAAATCGCAATTACGAAATTCGATTCATTTAAACATTTCTTTTTTTTTCATTTATTGCTTGAAGTATTTTCTATTTACTTATTAAATATTTTAATATTTTGTATTTTATCTTAAAATAAATATGCAATGCAACAAAAAAAATTCAAATCAACTAGAAATTTTTTTTAACCATTTTTTTTCAGTGAAGCAAAATTTGTTTTTTTTTTAACAGAGAAATAATTTAGATAATTGAATAAAAATATGTATGTAATAGAATATATTGGAACCAAGAAGAATTAACCGTTGATATATTAACGGTTACAAGTTCGCAGGTTTAATATACACGCTTCACAAGTATCAAGCTGGTTCTCTGAGAGAGAGAGAGAGGCGCTTAGGAGATACAATCCGGAAATTCTATTTACAGTGTTCACCACTATCATAGGACAAACTATCTTCCCAAGCTCCATTGCAGCTTCTGTTTCAAATACACGGAAGCGATATTTAATTATTGAGCGTTTCGAATTGGATCGTCTTTTGTCATTTTCCAATGTGAGAAGATCAAAGATAAGAGTTTGTTTTTAAGACCTCAATCTCAACACATTGAATGTGCTACTTTTTTTTAAAAAAAATTTCCAACACAATACCGGAAATTTTGTAAATTAATTTAAAATGCCATTTGAAAATTATTTAATTTTATAAAAAGAAATTTAAGCAAATTCGTACAAGTTAATATTTTTTTATAATAATGCAAAAAATTAAAGATGTTAATTTTTAATAGAAATAATTTAAATTCTAATTAAAAAATTTAACAATCGTCTAATATAGAATCTAATTAAATTTAATGAAAAATGTTAATTAATTATTCTTTTATTCTTATATTAACAATTACAGACAAAATTATCGATTTAAACCATTTTAATATTTTATATCTTACTTACAATAGATTCAGGAACTGAATTTCGATTTATTTGAATAATTCATTTACTAAAACTCGAATATTTAAATTTCTTCAACTGAGATGAAAAAAAACTGTTTATTAATAATTTAAAATAATTAATTCTTTAGTAAAATTCTGTTTTACAATGAAATAACATTTATATATAAAAATAATGAATATAAAACTAGTTGAAAAAAAAATCAAGAACGAATTTTTTGAAAATATATTATAATTTAATACCAGTAAGAAAGTATTTTCATTGTTTTGTAAATTGAGAGTAAAAATATATTCTCCTGCAGTAATTTTAAGTGAATTATTTTTTCGTACATAATGCAAGTGAAAAAAAAAGAGAGAGGGTGGGGGGAGAGTAACGGTTCAGAATTCACACTGATCTTGTGCGGCATCATCAAAGAATTAGTACACGTTTCGTCACGAATTGCATGAGAAATTTAATAAAAGTGCACGTACTAGCCGAGGCTTACCATCCATTATTTTTGCGAGGCGAAAAATTCTTAGCACGAGTCACGCGCTACTAGCTTTAGTGAAAATTTATTACACCCCCTTCTCATCGTCATTGTTACAAACATATTTTCCTCTAAAGTACAAAAAAAAAAAAAAACCATTTTACTAATTAATTTCAAGAATCTCAAAACTTATAATATACGATATTTAATTTGTTGGTTAATAAAAAAAATAATGCACAACCAATAATTACGACCAATAATATAATATAATACAAAGTTTCCTGCATGCATAAGGAAATGTAAATAATTAGTAATACTTAGAAAAAATTTTTTCAACATAACAAATGTATAATATTTATAATAATATGTAATGAAATACGTGGAATAAAAAAGTGTATATATGTTAATACAAATTACAAAACATATAATAAAAAAAATATATTATTTTATTTAATAAAAATTTAAAAACAATGTTATGTAAATTTTTTTATTACTAATTATAGTAATTAGATATTTTTTGACTCAATTAAAAAATTTTTAAAAACAAAATGATTAATATATTTGAAAAAGTGAAAACTTACCAACATGATAGATTGTATTTTTCGACATATCCTCTACTAATTTATCCACGTATTCAGAATCCTTTGGATACATCTCAATTTTACTGATGTGCCAGTGGAACAAATTCAGATTCGTCATATTTTTCCTGTAAATAAATAATTAGAATTAGTTATTTGATAAATTTTTTTCTCTTACAAAAAAAAAAAATAAGTTTCTTTACATTCAAGAAAAAAATTTTTTTTATAATCTGAAATTAAATTACACTTTAGAAATATTTTTAAAAATATATCATTTTTCAAAATAAAAATAAAAAAAAACAATTTTTTTTAGAAAAATTTTTATCGCTATTTTTTTTTGGCGATTTTAGGGAGGAAAAAAAGAGTAACGAGAGAAGGATAACAAATAAGTGGAAAGGTTGAAGGTATGTCGTTTGTTTGAATTTGCTGTATTTTCAGTAAGGAAATCCTATCTATCGGCCTAGGATATCCCTTAAGTTCTCTTGGATAAAGTAAAGGAGACCACGAAATCGGAGAGAGAGAGACCCTCTATGCATTTTAAAAGTGTGAATTACGATGGGGTTCATTGCATTGAAATGGCGATTTCTCAAGATCGTATATGACCCGACATTTTCAGCTCGACTTTGGTATCATCTAAATTTACAGCCGCTATTTTCTATTTTTTTTTCTAATTTAAAAAAAAAAGTTTAACATTAAATTTATTTGACTAAAAAGAAAAAAATTAGAAATTATAATTATTAATTTTCATTTATTCTGTCAAGAATTAATATATTCAAAAAATGAAAAATTCTATTCAATAAAAATTCACAATAGATTTTAATTTTTAAATAAATTTATATTTATTTAAATTTTCAGCCGCTATTTTTATTTCTATTTTTTACTCTCACTGACTTTTTTTTTAATTTAAAAAAATGTTTGACATTTGGTAAAAAAAAAAAAATTATAATTATTTATTTAAGTTTATTCTGTCAAAAATTGTTCAAAAAACTAAAAATTCTGTTATCAAATTATAAAAATTTATCGTCAATAGAAATAAATTTTCAATTAAAAATTCAGCTATATAAAATTTGAATTAAATTAAAAAAAAGCACGTGCGCATCATTTTTGTGGTTTTTACATCATCTCGCAAGCAATTGGCTGCGAAATTTCTTGCTTTCTTTTCACACAATCTTCAAGAGAGTGAAGATGGTGACACACGATAGGCGACCTGGCTCGTATGGGTTGCATACTAACCACTTCACGAGTCGACACTAAATCTTTGCGAATTATCCTGAAGAAAAGACAAGGGAGAAAGAGAGAGGAGAGGATGGGGATCAGGAAGAACTCGTCCTTTAGGTCCAGTATGAAAGCAGGACTTGTTAAGTATCAAGGTGTACATATATAGATTTTCTCTCTCTCATATGCCTCTGACATGAATTATGTCTCAAGTGTCCTCAACTCTCTATGCACCGCACACAAATTAATTCGTTGGATCGCCCTCTACGTTGAATTAATTATAAATATAATTTATTGTCCTCATCCATAACGACCCGGCTAATATTTTTCAAGAACTTCTTGAATTTTGATTTATTCAACGCCGGTACATTGCAAACGTTGCAAAATGCCGCGTGCGTGATTTTAAATAAAAAAAATACAAATAAAAATAAATCCAAATTAAAAAAAAAACTTAAAAAAAATAATTTAATATAATACAGAAAAAATTCTTTTCTATAGCCGAATTTTCATTTTACAACATTCATAAAACGTCGAATTTTTTATTTATACAGAATTTTAATTTGTCCAAATAAATATCCGGCAGAAAAATTTGGGCGCAAAATTTTAAAAATTATTACCAATCATAATTTCGTTGATATAATTTCTGATTTTGATAAATTTTTGAAATTTGCACTTAAATTTTTGCTGCCCAATATTAATGCGGACGAATTAAAATTCTCGGCATTTTAAGAATTCTGTAAACAAAATGTTTTATAAGAATCTGTTTTAAGAATTCAAAAAAAAAATGAAAATTCGTCTAGAAAAAAATTGTAATATTTTTTTTTTGTAAAATAAAAATTCCTTTTAATCACTATTCTCTCTAAAATAAAAAATCGAGCAAATATAATAATTTCGTTAAATTCAAATTTAACGAAATAAAAAATCTGTAAAATAAAAATATTATTCGATTAATAAATGTTTCTGTTAAATGTAGTAATTAAGTAAATAGTAAATTTTTTAGGTAATAAAATTCGGTCAATTAAAAATTCTAAGAAATTAATTTAAAAACTTATTAATGCTTCTCATTTTTTTTTCGCAGCTATTTTCAAAATTTGTTTTAAGAGAATTTATCTGAAAATATCATTTTATTGAAACGATCGAATACTTCCTGCGAACTGTCTCTTTTATGCTGGGGTCTCACACGGCTTATCGATATCCGGTACAACGTGTGTCTCAAATAAAATGCTATACGTTTTCGTTAAATAAATCATTATACAGGCAGCTTACACCCAAAAGTTTCCAATACTTTCGACATACCATCGCAACACAAGTTTGAGTAACTCAAAAAGTGTAGTAAGTTAAAATCCCCCTCGAATAAATTAATTGTATTTTTATTTCAATTCCATTTTTCTCTCTCTATAAAAAAAAAAATTTATTTTCTGTTCGAAATAAAATCACTTATTTCTAGAAAGAAGTAAAAAAAAAATAAATAAATAAACGAAGGGATTATTTTTGAAAAAATTTAAAAATTCAAGTACGGAATTATTAATTCTCACGAGAATAATGTCGGGGGAGTTATATTAATGGACGAGAGAAGGAGAACGGCTTTATCAAGTTATTGAGAATCTACCGGAGAAGCCAAATATTATTAGATATTTAACAGTCTAGACTCTTGAAAATGGTCCAAAAAGGATAATTGGAAACAGTTATATAGTGATCCTTATATGCCCTGATTAAAATTAGAGGATGTTAACTGACAAAATGACAGAGAGAGAGAGAGAACAAAATTCTCTTCTCCGAAATAGAGGGGAGAGTGAGAAGCACGATTTGTCGTCGTAGGCTGCTAAAATTTACATATACGTTTACATATAGCCTACAAGCCATCGCACGAAAGGACGACGTGTATATATATTCTCGCACAGGATTCGTGCGTGGTTTTAGTCGAACCGGTTCCAATCAAGCGACACTCTCCACTCACTCTCTTGTATATACACAAGTCTGATGGCTGTCAATTATTCAAATCGAAAATTCCTCTATCAAACGACAAACAAAAATAACTACGCCAATATTCCTTTGTCATTACAAAAAAAAAAAAATTTCACTTATAAAATTTCTACCCATTTTTTTTTTTAGTTAATTTAACTTGGCGCACGAATTTTCCACTATAAAAATCATTTTCACTTTAGAAAATTTATATAAAATTATTTTTTAGACGAATTTTTATTTTTAGAATTAGAAAATTTCTTTTTAAACAAATTTCTACTAAACACAATTTTTATGTACCGAATTTTTGTTTGACAAAATTTTATACAACTTTTTATTCACAAAAAAAAAAAAAAAAAAAGAAAAAAAATTCTAATTTAATCGAATATTAATTTACACTCAGAAAAAAATTCGTTTGAAGCAACTAAATTTTGGTTAAATCAACAAAATAAATGCATTGATATACAGTTAACCAAACATTTGGTTGCATAAACCAAACGTTTATTTAGCTCAATTTTTTTCTTTGTTCAAAAAATTTATTAAAATAAACCAAACAGTTATTTAGATCAAATCAATATTTATTTGAATTAAACAAATTTTGTTTGAACTAATCAAAAAATTGGGTAAATATAAAAAAATGGTACATTTGGTTCAAATATATCTTTTTTCTGAGTGTAGAGAAATTCTAAACGACGCTGAAGTACGCATCGTTTATGATAAACGATTTTTAAAGAAATAATTTTTTAAAATGAAAAATTCTATAATTTTTTTGCCGAAAAAATATTTTTTTATAATTTGTTGATTAATGAAAACTAGAAAAACTATTTTTTAGGCAAAAAATTATAGAATTTTTCATTTTAAAAAATTATTTCTTTAAAAATCGTTTATCATAAACGTTGCGTATACTTCAGCTTCGTAATTCTAATTGAAAAAGAAATTTAATTTTTTAATAACAGATTTTCCAAATTAACCGAATCATCATCATTTGTCCGAATTTTTATTTCCACTAATTGTGATTTGATAGAATTCTTATTTGTTTGAAATTACAAATGACCGAATTGCAATTTCGGATAAATGAAAATTTGGCATTTTAAGAATTCTATCAATTATAAATTCGGACAAATGAAGATTCGGTGAATTAGAAATCCTACAATTTTATTAGATAATTTATTAGACAATTTTTTTCAATTAGCATTTAAATAAAAATTCAAGTAAATAATAATTCTGTTAAATTTAAATTGGATAAAATAAAAGAGTAAAATTAAAATTCGTTTAAGTATACAAATTTTGTAATATAGAAATTCGGTTAAATTGAATTTCTGTAACATATAAGAATTCGAAGAAATAAAAATTTGGCGAAAAATAAATTTTAAGTATTAAAATTTTGTTAATTAAAAATTCTAATAAATTAATTATCTATAAAAAAAATCTCTTTAAATTAAATATAATTTTCGGAACAAAATAAATCAGAACCACATATTTTTTTCCCTCCTTATTTCTGGAAATAAGAAAAAAAAAGAGATGAAGGGATTATTTTGGAAAAATCTAAAATTAATATTTTTCTGGAAAAGATGTTTTTAAAAATTCAAGTACCGAATTATTAAATTTTGGTTATTAAAAATTCGAATCATATTTAAAATTCTGTTCAACGAGAAAAGAAAAAAAATAAAATAATAATTGTTTATTTAAGTTGTTAGGTAAATTAAAAATTTTTTTATTATTAATATTTCTTGTAATTAAATTTACTTTTTGGGGATCAATTTTTTTTAATATAAATTAATATATTAGGTTTAATTAGATTTTTTCAAATAAATAATTAGATAAAGAAAAATTCTATCAAAAATTTGATATCTAAAAATTTTTCTTCAATAAATATTCGTTTCTGTAAAATGTTAATTGGAAAAAAATTTTCGTCTGAAAAATAATCATATTTAATAATTCTTCAAAATGA